GGCTGCGCGTCGGCGAGTGCTCTGCTCTCTCCTGGCCACAGTAAATCGCCGAGTTAGCGGATTTCTTGTTCGCCTGGAGGCTGGGCTCCGAGGCGGATCGCCGCCCAGCCGCCCCTGGCTTCTCCCATAAGGCAGGGGACCCGAGAACGAGTAGACGATCCGGAAGGAAGGTCCCTGGGAGAGCCCCATGAATGCCCCCGTCCGGGGCGGAGGGAGTCCGGGGTGACTGTTCCCCTCCGCCGGCAGCAGCAGCAGCAGCAGCAGCAGCACCAGCAGCACCAGCAGCAGGTGGGCAAGAGGCAGGCCTTGGACATCTGCACGTATCGGACCCGGTCTTTCTTCCAACTCCCGGCCAGACTTGGAGGGAGGAGACAGAGGGGCGGCGTGTGGGGGTAGCCTTTCTCCAGAGGGGAGGCAGTGAGCAAGAGCCGCCGGACGGAGAAGCAGCGACCCCGGAGCAGGTCCCCGGGCCCCTCTCCCCCTCCCCGCCAGCCCCGTTCCTCGCAGCTTCGGTCTGGGCGTTTTCCTACCGCAGCTCGTCCCGGCGAGGCCGATGGTGGTGGCGGAGGCTGCGGGGCCCCTTCCCTGTCGCGCGCGTTCTCACGCCCGCCCACGCTCCACCGTGAAAACTCCGCAGAGCACTGCCCAACCCAAACACTGTTTGTTCAGCGAGGCGCTGGCATGGCAAACACACAAAACTGAGTCACAGGCAGAGCCCCTTGCCCACGACGGCCACGCAATTAGAGTACAAAGCAGACTGTCTGCTGATCTGTCCGCCCGGGGCCGCCGCCAGCCACACGCGCGCTCCATCTCCGGGACAGGCAGGGGCGCTGGTGAACAGGACCGGGGCCCGCACACTGTTGGGCACTCCGCTGGAGCGCAGTATATCAGGGAATGTGTGACCTTTTATAACGGGGCCACAAGCACGCCGAAGCACGACTGTACACCAAGTGTCCCGCAAGGACTTTGACGCGCGAGATACACTTATTTCCTGATCTCGGCCGGGCACTCGAACCCTCTCNCCCCCTCAGACGGGCTCGGCCGCGCGACTTCGCGCACGCGCGCTGGCTCCTCCAGGCCGTCAGTCCCCTTAGGCTCCGCCCCTCAAGCGGACGTTCTCGGGGACCCTTTGGATCCCCGCGGCCCGGTCTCTCCCGGCCTTGTCCTCTGATTGGACGCTGCACTCCACTGGCTGCGTCCCCGGAGGTCTTGGGCCCGCCTCCCTCCGAGTCAGGCGCCGAGGGGGCGGGGCGGGGCGGGGCGTCAGCGCGCTATTGTCATGGAGACGGGAAGCCGGTGGCAGCGGCGGCGGGCACTGCCGGGCCGAGGTGGCTGCGAG